CAGGCTGGAGTGCAATGGCACGACCTCGGCTCACTGCAACCTCCGCCTCCCGGGTTCAAGCGATTCTCCTGCCTAACCTCCCGGCATTGTTTTTTATAAAGTCAAAAGGAAAGGAAGTCTGATAGAAAAATAGAAATATCCAACAAATACCCGCCTGGAAAGGGACAGGGCTATAAGAAATAGGAGCTTAAAACCCTCTGCAGTTCTGCAGTGAGGATGGCCGTGGGGGCATACTACTTTCAGGTGTTTCAGGTAGGGCAGGTGGGAACTCACTCTAAAACGAGAAACCCGGGGCTGATGATAAAATGCACATGCTTTGCTTCTGGCGGCCCAGGTCTTCCTAGCCGCAGATTCTGAGAAGTGTATCTGCAGGTGGTGTGAAATTGAAGCCCGGGAAGCGGTTACTTTCGGTCTCCGAGGTGCGCCTTGCACAATGGGTCATTCAGCTCCCAGGCTCGGCTCCGAGCTACACAAGACTCTGAACCTGGACCACTCCCTCCCCTCCACCAACGAGGCAACATGGGCTCCTGGAAGTCACAGCGCTGGGATGGGATTTCGACCCCGCGCTGCCCTCAAACCCCACAGCCTCGCAGCTCTGCTCCCGCCGGCAGCTCCCGTTCTGCGTAACTAGGCAGCCGCCCGCCGCCCTCGGCATCCAGTTCACAGGCTCGGGGCCGGGGCCAGCTCCGCGGGGGCAGCGTCGGTGCGGAAGGGGCGGGGTGCCGGGCCTTCCCCGCGCGACTCTGCCTTCCATGTCCCCAGCCCCGGACTCGGGAAACTCGGAGCTCGCGTGAGCCCCGCCCCACGGTCGCGGCGTGCTTGTCATTTCCTCTCTGCAGGGCTTGCGGGTCTCGAAGATGAGGGAGAGAGAAAGTTCACGGCCGGGCTACTTCGGCACCCTGGGCTTCTTTCAGCTGGGACTCGACAGCGGCACCGCTCCGCCAGCTCTCAGCGCCGCGGACAGCTGCTGCGACGCTCCAGGAGGACACGCCAGAAAGACTGGCCTGCGCTCCCCGGGACGCCACCAGGGCGCGTGCGCGGCGAGGGCGCGGCCGGCTCGGGCTGCGGCTGGCTCGAGCTGCGGCTGCGCAAGGCGGTGCCAGACGCTGCGCCTGCGCAGTGGTGGGGCGGGGCGGGAAGAAGGGAGGCGGTGGCAGCGGCGGCGGCTGCTGAGGAGGAGGAGAAGGGGGAGCAGAGGGAGGTGTTTCTGTCAGTTCCGGCTGTTTGTTCGGGAAGTGGATCCGCCGCTGCCGGAGCAGCCCGGAGGGAGCTGCGGATCGCGAGGCCAGTACCGACCCCGCCCGCCCGCGCGCACCGCCCCAGCCCGCCATGGCCCGGGACTACGACCACCTCTTCAAGCTGCTCATCATCGGCGACAGCGGTGAGGGCCGCAGCGGCCGGAGGCGGCGCGGGCCCTGCCGGGCGCGGCCCGCGGGGGCCTCGGGGCGGCAGGCGGGCGGGGAGGTGCGGCCCGCGCGGGGAAGGCGGGCGGGGCTTCCCGGAGGTCTGGGCTCCAGGGGCGCGCCGAGGGGCTCTGGGCCGCGCTGAGGACAGGTTGGGGCGCGGGGCGAAGGGTCCGAGCGAGCCGGGTCCAGTCACCGCGCCTGCCCCTGCTTCACGTGTGACCTTGGTCAAGTCGCGCGATCTCTGGAGTTGGAGAGACCTGGGTTCGAGTCTCGGGACTACCAGCTGCCTCTCGCTGACCTTGGGCAAGTTACTTCTCCGTCCTGAGCCTCAGTTCCCTCATCTGAGAAGCGGGGACGTGCCTTCCTGGGTGGTGTGAGGATTCCATGGGATAAAGTAGAAAAAGTGCTCAGCGTCCTACCTGGTAAAGTAAGCTCGAAATAAATATTCACTACTGTCATTATCATCAGTATCTTTTGTAAGTGTCAGTTTCTTCCCATCTAAAAAGAGGACGTTCTCAGAACCTGCCTCATGGGATTGCCATGAGGTTTAAATGAGGTAAGGCGGGTAAAGCGCTTTGCACAGGGCCTGGCACATTCCCGCTGAATTATAGTTATATCTCTGCGTGGTTCAGTTTCCTCGTCTGTAAAATGGAATGATGTTTGGATCTGCCTTATGGGGTTGATGTGAGTATTCAGTGAGATTGTGCAGTGTTGTGCACAGCTCCTAGCACACAGTGAGTCCTCACTGTTTGCTGTTCCGCTACTATATACAGAGGGGTCCTGGGGGTGTGGCAGCCAAAATTATAAAAGTGCTTTGGCCACACACACATTGCTTGAGGGCTCCTGATCACTGCTGTAGCTCCAGTGCCTAGAACAGTGCCGGATTCTCAGTAAGTGCTTAAGACATATTTGCAGAATGAATGAATATTAAGTGCCCTTAGAAAAGATAGACTGGTTTCTGGAACAAGATGGAGGGTTTTGGAGCTGTTTGGAGTATGGCAGGTAAGCAGGTTTATGGGGTGACCAAGAGCTCAGGGAGGCAGGCCCCAGAAGGTTTATGAGAGTGTAGCTGAGATGCTGGGGTTATACGATGTCCATGAAAGAGTCTCGGGAGCATGCTTAGTTTGTAGACCAGACCTGAGCTGAGTGTGGAGAGGGCTGTCATGTGTTTGGAGGCAGAGGACTTGGACTGTTAAGGAAAGGGGATCAAATCAAGTGAGTGGTGAGACCCGGGGTGTCGGGGTGCTGGGTAGCAGTGTCAGAGCTGGGTCAGGGAAGTGGGTGATTTTGGCCTCACTTGTAAAGCTGGTTGGAGATGTGGTTGGTGGTTTGGATCAGGTGAAGGATGGCTGAGGTTTCCATGGCTGCTGGAGGAAGGGAGAGATGGGGGGGAAAGTTGGGGACTAACCAGGTAGATGGAAGAGTTACTGTGTTTGGAGAAGGAGTTAGAAAGGGGGAGGACTGATTGGTTATGGTTTGAATGAAAGGAAACCAGGCAAGCTGGAGTGTTCTCTTGAAGAAGGCCTTTGGCTTTCTTCAAGGTCTTGAGGCTTCTTCCTCCACATGATTTGCTTGCAGTCCTGGCCTGGGTTCTGAGGGACTGGCATCGGGCCATTTCTTTCTTTTTGGAGTGACAGTCAGCCTGCCATGGTCAGGAGCCTTTATCCCTCTGCAAGACATCTGGGACCTCTTCGTTGATATCCAACAGTGAAAAGCCTAAACTCAGCAGGAAGATGGAGCTTGTTGGCGCTTCTCCTCTGTAAAACCCAGGGGATGGGTTTGGCCTGCTTTCTCACAGTACATTTTGTATGATGAATTTATTTTTCTCTCCGAAGTTAGGTGTGGGAGAAGACTCATTGGGTCAAGATTTATGTGGTCTAGCTCCTAGGTCAGTCATGTAGGCGTGGGTTGTAGAGGAGATAGACGCTGTGCTCTTTGATTTCTCCTGACAGAGAGATACAATGCTGGGAGATGGTAGCTGTGGAAGTCCAAACTAAGCTTTGGCGGCCGAGCACAGAGACTGACATCACGCACTCCCCTGAACTGGGCTTCTTGTGCAAATGCCTCCTTAAGGTATATCAAATGATTTCACAGATGCTTATTCTTACCCACGGTCTGTGTGGTTTGTCAAATAAGGAAACTAAGGCTTAAGGCCAGGTGTGGTGGCACACACCTATAATCCCAGCATTTTGGGAGGCCGAGGTGGGCGGATCACCTGAAGTCAGGAGTTCAAGACCAACCTCGCCAACATGGTGAAACCTCCTCTCTACTAAAAACACAAAAGTAGCTGGGCATGGTGGAATGTGTCTGTAATCCTAGCTACTTGGGAGGTTGAGGCAGGAGAATTGCTTGAACCCAGTAGGCAGAAGTTGCAGTGAACCAAGATCATGCCATTGTACTCCAGTCTGGGTGACAAGAGTGAAATTCCATCTCAAAAAAAAAAGGGAAACTAAGGCTCAGAGGAGGTGACTGACTTGCCCCAAATCATACAGCTCAGCAGAGGCAAAGCCGGAGCTACTGCACCTCAATGCTAATATGTGTGCAAGCAGCTGGTGTCAGGGCTGGCAAACAACAGGCCCTCCATGAAAGCTGGTTTCTTTCTTCATACATCTAGAGGTCTGCCCACTCTGCACATTGTGCATGCTTCTGCAGTAGACTCCCTCGACCTCTGCATCTCTTCGTTAGGCCTAAGGTTCTTTACTGTCTATACTTTCCCTTGTACTGATACTGGTCTGATTTGTAACAGCACTTCATCTGCATCCCTCAGATCAGCCATCCTCATTCGGAGATGGAGCTAGCCCTTCACTTAACAGATGAGTAAACTGAATCTAAAAGAGGGGCGTGACTTGTGTGAGGTTATAGAGTGAGGTACTGTAGTGGCTGAGGCAGGATTAAAAATGAGAACATGGCTGGGCACAGTAGCTCATCCCAGTGCTTTGGGGGGCTGAGGTGGGAGGATCATTTGAATTTGAGACCAGCCTGGGCAACATAGTGAGACCCCCATCTCAAATAAAAAAAAAATCAATTGAGTGTGATGATGAGAACCTATAGTCCCAGCTACGTGGGAGGCTGAGACAGGAAGATTGTTTTAACCCAGGAGTTGACAGTTACAGTAAGTTATGATCACACAGCTGTACTCCAGCCTGCGTGACAGAGTGAGACACTGTCTCAAAAATTTAAAAAAAAAAGGCTGGGTTTGGTGGCTTATGCCTATAATCTCAGCATTTTGGGAGGCTGAGGCGGAGGGTCACTTGAGCCCAGGAGTTTGAGACCAGCCTGGGCAACATAGGGAGGTCCTGTCTCTACAAAAAATTAAGAAAATTAGCTGGGTGTGGTGGTGCACGCCCATAGTCTCAGCTACCTGGGAGGCTGAGGTGGGCTGATCTTGAGTCTGAGAGGTTGAGACTGCAATGAGCTGTGATTGCGCTGCTGCACTCCAGCCTGAGTAACAGAGCAAGACCCTGTTTCAGAATTTTAAAAAATTGAGAACACTTCACTGAAAGGTCTAGGGCTCTTCAAGAGATGGAACTGAAGCAGAGAGGAGTAAGGGGACCAGATCCCAGGCAGGAGCAGGGCAAGGAGAAGATGTGTGTGTGGCTGGTGTGGTGAGGACCAGATACAGCAGCCAGGGGTAAAGGCCGGGTGCTGTTGCTGTGGCTCACTCCTATAATCCCAGCACTTTGGAAGGCTGAGGCAGGCGATCACTTGAGGTCAGGAGTTCGAGACCAGCTTGGCCAACATGGTGAAACCGTGTCTCTACTAACAATACAAAAAAATTAGCTGGATGTGGTGGCAGGTGCCTGTAATCGCAGCTACTCTGGAGACTGAGGCAGGAGAATTGCTTGAACCCGGGAGGTGGAGGTTGCAGCCAAGATCAGGCCACTGCACTCCAGCCTGGGCGACAGAGTGAGACCCATCTCAAAAACAAAAAAAAAGGCCAAGCATGTTGGCTCATGTCTGTAATCCCAGCACTTTGAGAGGCCGAGGTGAGCAGATCACGAGGTCAAAAGATCAAGACCATCCTGGCCAACATGGCAAAACCCCGTCTCTACTAAAAATACAAAAATTCGCTGGGCGTGGTGGCAGGCTCCTGTAATCCCAGCTACTTGGGAGGCTGAGGCAGGAGAATTGCCTGAATCCAGGAGGCAGAGGTTGCAGTGAGCCGAGATCGCGCCATTGCACTCCAGCCTGGCGACAGAGAGAAAAAAAAAAGACGACGACGGGCTGGACTGGCTGGGGTTACACTGATGTGGGCCTTGGGCAGCCTCGGCAGTAGCTATGGTGAAGGTTGACGGGTGCTCTCTGCTCCTGCCCTGACACTGGTGCTGTGGGGTAATGGCTGCAGCTCGTGTTTCTGAGGACGCTTCTTCTAGGGATATTTAGGGGGTAGCATTTCTTGGGGTGGATTTCTGTTCCTTTCAAAGGGAGAACAGTGTTAGAGATTGGTGTTGGGTCCAGAGCAACAGATAAGGTGGTGATGGTTGTGGTCTTTCTGCAGCCTAGTGGCTTTTAACTGCTCTGCCGAGGCGCCTGGTGACAGTATGGGGACCTAGAAAGGGCAAGCTGGAGGGGACACTACTGTGTCATTGCAGAGAGAGCCGTGTTAGACATGGGATTTGGGTAAAGCTTGAATGAAGAAAAGGAGTCTGCTGCCCTGCAGAAGTTTGGAAACCCCTGCTTAGGCACGTGCTGAGCTGCAGTGGTAGCGCTAGACAGCAGAGCCGTCAGCGCGGCGGGCATTTGTTTAGGCAGAAATTCGTTAAGCAGTGTTTGGTTGGCACCTACTAAGTGCCGGGGCCGGCTTACAGCACTGTGAATGCACAGGGCGGGTGAGACGAGGGCTCTGTCCTAGAGGAACTTACAGACTCAAGCTTTTAGCTGAGTAAGCTGGACCCAGAAGGCTCCAGGAGGAAGCAGAGGAGGCGGTGAGGCCAGTGGGGCGCCGGTGCTGGGCACAGCGCTGTGAAGGACCCAGCCTGGGACTCGGGCTCTCCTTGGGCTCAGCAGGAAGCCTCATGGCGGAGCAAGGAGGAAGTGGCTCTGAGCATGAGTGCTGTGGGCCTGGGGCTGAGCAGTATCTGTCTGCCCAGGAGAGCCTCACGCCAGCCTGTCTACGAAAATAAGATGCAGGCTTACTCAGTGAAACAAGTTCTTCTGGGCATCCTGGGGCAGCTCACTCACCGGGAGAAGTTCCCAGATGGGATCTTTAGAGGACTGCCCAGAGAGGATGCTGGGTTAGGCTTAGGGAAATACAGCTGCAGCAGTGGTTTGCCACTTTGGTTACCTGGGGGTGTGGGGATGGAGGCAGTTCCCTTTTTGAGAATCTAATAAAAGCTGTGGGGGCCGACTGCAGTGGCCCACGCCTGTTAGCCCAGCACCTTGGGAGACTGAGGCAGGCGGATTGCTTGAGGCCAGGAGTTTGAGACCAGTGTGGGCAACATAGCGAGACGACATCTCTACAAAATTTTTTTTTAAAGTTTGCTGGGTGTGGTGGCACATGCCTGTAGTCCCAGGTACTTGGGGATTTCAAGGTTAGAGTGAGCTGTGATCACACCGCTGCACTGCAGCCTGAGTGACAGAGTAAGGCCCTGTCTCTCAAAAAA